ACCCTACCTCCTCCAAGGGTTATGAGATCCAATATCACTGAAGCTCCCAATGGCAATAGCTCATGTAAGCTTAGGAGCAGTGATCAAGTCTGTGGCAGGCTCCTCGGACCATCACCGCCTTCAGAGGAGAGCTCTTATCTGCCAGGGATAAGATTGCAGGAAAAACTCTGAAGGCCACCTGATGATTGCCTCCTCAGGAAGCCCAGCCCTGGCCCCCGACAGATACTCGAACCACCAAGGTCGAAGCAAGCACTGGTGGTCGAAGCATACGACACATATTATCCCTACAAAAGGAAGATTCATCCACCAACAGGATGGTCCCGCCGTTGGTGCTCCCAGAATCCCCTCAGAGGAACCATGATTTTGCCAAATTCTAGGGGACAAAGCATCAGCGTCTAGGGTTTCATCAATGGAAGACCCCATCACAAAAATTGACTAGCCTCCTTCTGTTAAGTGCCAACCTCCGAAAGCTCAATCAACAGGACGCTGGCCATTCAGGGCAACAAACGGTGGCGAAGCGAGTTCTGTTGAAAATCAACACATCCACCGTCGGCCTGCAAGACCTCAATAAGGACTCAAGTTCGGAAAGGCCTTGGCTGATGAGATGGTGAATGCACCAATAACCCATCATCGTCTAAATCAAAACTCCTCACCCTTAAAAAAGAGCAGCATCCGACTCCGGGTACTCAACACTAGCGATCCAACATGCTACGTCACACAATAGCAAAGATGGCTAATAGAGCTACGGCTCAGCCTCGTTTAAGCGGAAATATATGAAGGCAACAAGAGACAACCAAGGAGGTTCTATCTCGGCGGCCTCGTCCCCTGCAAAAGCTGCCTTCAGTATACATGCAGGAGAAGATCAAGAATTCGACGCCCTCAAGCATCAAATGCCGGTGATCCAAACCCTATGATGTACAAATTTCAGAAATCAACGAAATTTTCCACCAAAAACATGGATAGAAGGAAATCAAACAAAGGGCCCCAAAGACCTAGTCAACCCTCAGAGGTTCTAGGCGTTCGACTCCTCAGTCGGATTAAAAGCCCTTGATACCTTATCAGGAATAAACCCAAGGCACAACCCTTTGGCCGACTCCCACAGTCGCCTCTCGGGCTTAGGAAAAATCTGAAGACCTAGGCGCCTACGTAAGATCTAGGCACCTAACTTATGGGTTGTCATTTAGCCCACCAGAGCCCCAAAGACCTAGTCAACCCTTAGAGGTTCTAGGTGTTCGACTCCTCAGTCGGATTAAAAACCCTTGGTACCTTATCAGGAATAAACCCAAGGCACAAGCCTTTGGTCGACTCCTACAGCCGCTTCTCACCCTTAGGGGAAATTTGAAGACCTAGTTAGACACCTACGTAAGACCTAAGCACCTAACCTACGGGTTGCCATTCAATCAAAAAGGCCCTTGTGTCCTCTCGCACCAAGGTACGATCCCTTTAAAAACACATCTGACAATCCATCGACACAAACTTCATCAAATAAGTTGTCGATTGAATTGCTCAGCCAACACAAAGCATTTTAAGTAAACTAATTGTAGTCCCCTACATATGGATCGACACTATAGAATTAACTTACTCAAACCACAGAACCTCAACCAAATACTTAGAAATAAAAGAAAAGGTCGGTCTTTCATTCAAAAAAGTAAACTAATTGCCATCCACCTCATCGACCGCACCAAGAGGCTCCTTGCCTGGTTGATGAGACGGTTTAGATCTCAGGGAGGATTCCCCGCAAACCCTGCATTGGTAGAGTTGACTAGGACCCTTCTCTCATCCCTCGTCCTACCAATAGAGGGTTGAGCATGGAGCCAGAAGCCTCCTCCACATCAAAGGCCCCCCTCAATCTTTTTCGGGGCCTACCAGCAGAGCCTCCCCTCCCAGCCTCGACCCGCCTGTTACAGACCTCCATTGGTGAAGAAACAGGAGGGATCACCATTTGCCGTGAAGCCAGTAGAAGACAATATCATGGACATATCTTCCACTAAATCTTCCATGTCCAAAGGCCCGGCATAAGAACAGATCTTCTCCAGGGCCTCCATCTCCAAGCCACTAAGAGCAATTAGCCTCAAGACATCCATATTTGTCTCCGACCAAGTCGAGCAGACAAAAATATCATCAGCACTATAATCCCACACAAAATGCTCCCTCCAATTCTCCTCCAACTCAGGAAAATCTAAAGAAAGCTGGAAATTGTCACTAATCTGATAAAAGTATTACAGGTCCCTTTCAGCCGACCCCATACTAAACAAATGACCCAGCACCTTCATGCTGGGCCAAACCTCGACATGGTAGCAGACGACCACAAAGGCCACTAGAACTCCCACCGCGTTCGGGTAGAATTGCGAAGGGGAAACCCCTAAAGCTGCATGCACTTCCCTGACAAAGGGATGAAGGGGCAGCTGCAGGTCATGCTTCAGATGTGCTAAATATAATGGCACTCGCCCTTCACCATGACTGTACACTAGTTCAGTCAACTTGGGCTCTTCTAGTGTTAATGCCCAAGGAATAGCAAACCTCTCGTACATCCATCTTAACCGATCCATATGGACCCTTGAACGCAGACGCCTAAGAGCAGCAAGCTTTTCATCAAGATGGCCAGAAGCAAAAGTTAGAGAAGCAATGGAGAATTTTCTTTTTTATAAAAATCAATGGTTTTGGAAGCGAAGGATCTGTAATGAAATCCTCTCAACCCTTAGGAAGGATATTTATAAGCTTTCAAGAAGGCGCGTGGGAGAATTCAAGAGACACAGTCTCGAAGCAACCAAGAAAGATCCACTTTAAAATCTGAAACAGATCGCTCGAAATACGAACTGTCGCCCATGCACATCAATCCACACCAATACTTTTTCAATGAAACACCATCCATTCTATCCATGACGCCTTGTTCCCCCTAAAAAGACGGTTCAAATTCTTGATGACGTTAACCCATAAGAAATAACAGCAGGACAGAAAGGGTTACACTACGCCCTCAGCCACGACCAACTGGAAAAAAAGTCCTCAACATCTCAAGCAGATTTATGTTGATCGAGAGCCTATTTCTATTTCACTCGAACCCGACTAAAGTCGACTCCAAGTGAAAAGGGATAACTGTTATGATAATTCACCATCTGAAGATAAAGGTATCGAAGAAATAATGTCATCGTAGGTCTAAAAGACATGACCCTAACCAGCTTAGCGGCCCAAAAGTCCAGCCCAGGACAACTCTGTTGACCCGTCAAGCGACGTGTCATCCATGCCGAAACGAAAGGCAGAATCAGTCGACCCTTCATAACCGAGACGACTCCTCAAGAATGATCCACTATAAAAAAGAGGGAGGGGGTAAGAACAAAAAGACCTATCTCGGCTACTTCTTCTTCTTGATCTATTAGTAAAATTAAACTAAGAAATCTAAACTCAAAATACTCCTTACAAGGACCTCAATGGTCCTCGGACTTTCCCTTAAACTCCACTCAAGCTCACCAGCTGACTTGACCGTCGAAGGTACCATACGGGAACTAGTCCCCGCCCTCTTAGGGGTTTGTTCTTCTGGTCTTTGCAGTGGATCCAAATATCTTAGTTCAAGAATCATGCATAAATTCGGAGGAGGAGTTGGCCCCATTTCCCATCTACTCCCTCTTCGTCATCAGCGCGAAGACTCGAGCTACACTCACCCAACGATAGCTCCAATCGGCTGTTTGATATCGATCATCAACATATATTATTTATTAAATAATATATTAATATTTTATATATTATATTATATTACATTTACTATATAATATACTATTATATTATTATATTATTTTTTTATTATTAAATATATTCATATAAAAATTAATAATATTATAGTGATTATAATATTGTATAGTATATTATTATATCATTATTTATTATCAATAACTTTTATTTTTTATTAATTTATTTATATTTTTATTATTATTTATTATTATATTATGTTAACTATATTATTATATAATATATTATCAGGATATTAAATACTAGTATTTAATAATTACTATATTATTATGTAAGATATTTTACTTATAAATATATTTTATATTATTTAATAAATATTGCTATTATATTAGATTGACTATAAGATAGTACAATATAACATAATAAATGTGTCGATAATAACTATATATTAAATATATTTAATATATTATGTTGACACCTTCTCAATCTCGAAACCAGAACACCAAAAAACACCTAAAACACCTAAAAGGTGTTTTAAAATAAGTATTATGTTTTTAATTTAAGAATGATTTAGCTCAAAAAACACCATGGTTTCCAAACGCATGGTGTTTTATTTTTAGCAAAAACATTATAAAAACAAGGAAAACACAATAATATCCAAACAAAACCTATAGAAGCAACAGGAGTTTGCTGAAAGTAAGTTAAATTTCTTCGACTTCATTTGTTCTCGTTATTTTTCCATAATTCTGCCAAAAAACGGTTTGCGATGGTCTGTTTGAGGTTAATTTTAAAAGAATATTGAAGCCTAATTGGGTCCTAAGCTGCATATGCAGCTTTTTTCAATTTGTATAGTGAGTTAGTTTTACAAATCAGTCTAGTTTGGAAATAACCAATTGATTGTCAATATCATAATTTGAAGTCTGACGGATCTTAATTTATATAATGGATCAGTTATGTTTTAAAAGGGTCTTAATTTGTACGTTCAAGAGAACTGATAATAAGTTGACAATACCAAGATACCAAAATATAAAAAATCATCGAGAACAATTCTTAATTTTCTATTCATTTGATGTCAGAATGCGTCACTGCATTTATTTTAGTGAGTTTATCAATATTATATTTATCTATTAATGTTTACCTGCATCACTATCCCCGGGTCCGCCACGGGCCCACGGCCCCCACTTACAAAAAAAAAAAAAAAAAAAATCCTCGCTTCGCTGCCCCGTATTAATTTCTACAACCAAAGCGGATTAAAAAAAAAAAAAAAAAAAAATCCTCGCTTCGCTGCCCCGTATTAATTTCTACAACCAAAGCGGAAATCATCACCACAGAAATTATTTCTCATTGTATACCAGAATCCATCCTCCTGCACTTTCACCAACAAATAAATACATGTGAACAACTAATGAAAAACACATACAACCAACTTTACAACTGAAACCTAAGCTAATCATTAGCTTTCATCTTACGAACACTGAATCATTCCTATATAGTTCCTATAACAGGCAGCAATTTCTGTCACCTTGCTGCGGGCGGTTCTGATGCTTGACTGCTAAGCGAAGGATTGGAGGAAATGGAGGGGAGGGCTCCTCCTCCATTCTCTTGTGGAGACGGGTTTCCCCATTTCAGATCTGCATCCGATGGCTCCACTACGTACACTGTTCCGTCGCTCATCCCCACTGCTATCTGGTTCGGCTCTGACGGGTGAGACGCGATCACCATAGGATAGACCGATCCATTGCTAATTTAAAAAAATAAAAAGTAATAAGAAATTTTGAGGTCATTGTTCACCGGATAGTTGGTGCTTCAAGAACTGCTTGCTCTTGGGTGATCAACAAGATCAAGGATTTGGGAATTATGCATGAGATAATTGGTCTTCCGCTATTGGTGCACCAAGTATCCAGTCGACAGGGGATCACGGGAACGTTTTCCCAATCAACTTGTTAAACTATTTTGTAGTCAATTGTTTGTTGAATAGTTGGTGCTCGAAGAACCGTTTGCTCTTGGATCAATGGAGATCTTGGATCAATGGAGATCGAAGGTTTGGAAATCAGTGCATGAGCTAACTGCTCTTCTGCTCTTTTGGGACACCAAGTATCCAATTCAAATATCAAACGTAATGTAATTGGTTTCAACTTGAAACACAAACTGGGTTACGCATCTCACAAGATATTTCTAAGAGCAGGCAAACTATATAAGATCATTTTGGTACTAATACATTCAAGGTTTGGAAAAGGATTCAATACTGAATATGCATGAGTAAAGAAACGTGCATAACTGTCATTGTTACCTGGAAGCAGAAGGCGAAATATAGGCAGAAGGTGCAATCCGGCAACGAAGTCTTAGGCTATCGGCATCAAAAACTCCAACTGCACCATCACAAAATCCAGCATACACCAGCATCCCATTGCATGAGTATACTGCGCTTGAAATTGGAGCAGAGAGAGAATCTCTAGGAGACCACTGCAATTTACAAAATGAACATTGATTGTTCAAAAATATTGAGTACCAGCCTCTTGAAAGGTCGCAACTTAGTTCATAAGAAATAAGAGGCAATCAAGGAAATCTGGTTCCTCTTGGCCAAATAAGGTCAGCAGAAAATTTTGAAGAACTTAAGCATCTTGAGTAGCTTTTTCAGAAGTAAATATAGGTGCCAAATCCAGGTAAGAGTCTCAAGATAAATAAAAGCAGAAATTACAGCTTAATTGCACATACACCCATGTAGTGCTTCTGTTTTGAATTTACTACGCCTGTAGTTTTGTCATGGAAAATAGTTTAAAAAAAAAATACTCTTTTACCCTCAGCTAGACTCCCTAATTTCAATCACGGGAATTGTCTGTTACTATTTTACCAATGGTAAAAGAGCTTAAAAATTAAACCAGGGGTCTATCTGCAACAGTGAAACTACAGGGGCAGTAAACACAAAAGACCAATACTGCAGGGGATCTATGTGCAATTAATCCAAATTTATGATAGAAATCAAGAACCTTCAATTTACTTTCCCTTCAATGCATGAGGGTAAAAACTAACCGTCCTTAAGCAATCTAGCTTGCTGTCGTAAATCGAAATCTGGCTTTCGTGGGAAACCAAAATGTGTGTCTGATCATTGTGAAACTGAACTCTTGTGTCCCCAACCAGTGGGTTTGCACGGCCAGCAGGTGCCTGAATAAATTTAGACTTCCTCTTCTCCCATCCATCAATGCTCCAAACACATAACTGTTTAATTTTAAAAATATAAAGAACATTAATCAGATTAATTGAAGTATCATTGACTGATACTGCAACATGTAAGGCTAATAACGTGAAATTGAAAGCAGAAATTTCCAATGGCTTGCCTCTGTAGGGCAAACATTCATAACAAGAATTGTCAAACCTACCTGAGCATCAGCTCCGGAGGACACAAGAACATTCAGTGTTTGGGAGAATGCAAGGCCGGTGATTTTCTCATGGTGGCCTTTGAGCTTGGTTTTAACCTGCAGCCAACCCCGCAGACTAAACAGTAAAAAAGAAGCATAAATGTGCAGAAACAGGTTTTAGCAAAACCCATGGTAAACAATGTGGACACATAAATAACAAATAAACAACTATTGTTAACAGACAGTAATATCAAGTATACGAAAGCGAAATTATCGAGTCTTTGAATATTCCATAACTACCCATGGTCATTTGACTTTCTTATGCCATTTTGAATATATATATAATTATAGGAAGTCCTCTGCATTTTGTCCTGAACAATTAAGGCCTAAGTGCTCAAGATAAAAAGGAATAGCATTCATGGTTCATATAAAAAAATTTCAGTCATCTTGATTTCATGTTTGAAGGGTCTTCTCCAGGCCATAGTCACACGCTCTCATGCATATCATGTTATGTTCCAAGGCGACATTTTTCATACGATTTATTTGGTTACAGTAATAGATGATTGAAAAGAAGAAAACCCCTTTACAGTCCATCTGTACTACACAGAAATTACTGGTCTCATTCCACTTTTACTTTTAAACCATCTAAAAATATACATGCTAATTTACACTCCTGTTCAACATTTATGTGAACCTATATAACTTGCCTTCGGATGGAATAAACAATTGGTATCTTAAATAAACTCCGGCTTTATCTTCATCACCCAAGTAATAAATTCTGAACAGTGAACACCAACCATAAAGGTTTAAAACCATCACTGACATTTCTGCTTAACTACCTCAACATCTTTTATATTGTTTTCAGAAGTCTGAAAATGTCAAACGCCCATATGGCGTAAAGGATTATTGCTCTTGGTGCTGTATGATTATACCCGTTGGCATCAATCAAGAGGGCTCTATTGCTCTTCATGGTGCTTTCAGATTAATAAGTTTCATGCTATTAAATCTACCACCTGATGAGGTAAAGAGATTAACTGAATCTATGCTCTGATACCTGAAACAAAGTTTGATCAAAGAAATATACATAGAACTGAAGGAACTACACTAAAATGGATAGCAATGGTAGAGGTTCAGAGAACTTTTGACCAACAGAAGTATGTACGTGTTCACTATGAAAACAAGACTGATCCCTTAAAAGTGACAAAATGAACCATGTCAGTACATTTTTTTAAATAAATAGGTAATACCAAAAAAGCACCGACTCTTCAAGAAGATAACAAAATATGTGGTTTAATTACCTCATCGATTCTGACATTATATATTTGAATAGAGGAATCCTCCATCCCTATGGCAATAATATTATTATCCTGAGGGTGAAATGCCAAGAAGGTTGCTGCTGGAGGGGGTGGCATAAAAGTCGTCATAACCTATGAAAAATTACAAGATTAATTTACAAGGGCACAATTGACACAGACAAGAAACATATAACTTTTTAACTTATCTAAGGACATGGTCCTTAAAAGTAAAATTTGAGATGACGCTATAAAGAGCTAAGGACATGGTCATAAAAGCAAAGTTTGTGATGGCACTATAAAGAGCCTTGAACCTTGAATGTCATCATGTTGAACAATGAAACTTTTCCACCAGAAGCAGACATGACGTAAGAATCATTCTTCGACAAAGCAATACATGCACTTGACTCTTCAGGGTTGCTGTCATTTGTGTCATTGGTCATGAGAATACCATTTGTTGGCTGCCACAAATGAGGTACAACAGAAGCAGTGGACTGAAAATAAAAAGGAAAAAAGTCAACAGTTGAGGAAAATACGAAGTCATTAATTAGATCCTACAGCTGATACTCATACTAACCTTGCCCAGCAAATTTCTTTCATTACGCTGCCACTTCCACAGTTTATGGGTAGCATTTGAGCCAAGACCTAAGACAGCCAACCCAGAGTTCGTATATAGCAATCGAACGACCTGTAGTTGTGTATGAATTATACAGAATAAACCTTGGTAGACATAGCATAGAAGATAAGAAAAATGAATTAGTTTTACTGAAGATGAACCACATTTCTTTACACGCTTGACTAACAACTATCAGTTTGCTCACTTGCAAAAGAAATTATAAAGCAAGACAAACGGTGGTACATCATTATGTACTTTAAGATAAAACTTTAATATGAACAACTTGGTAGAGGCACCATGCTAGTCAATGCTATAGCCTATTTGAATATTATGTAAGTGAGGCCATTAAATACTGTGACAGAGTGCCTACATAGCTTTTACAAAGTGGTTTGCTGCATACCAACCTATGTTGCGCAAGTACAGGTGCGGTGTGGACACAGACACGAGTGCGAATACAGGACACGGTAAATTCGTAAAATATGGGATACGGGGACACGCTATACATGTTGAATTAATGATTTATATGAGATTGGTATCTTTTTCATTCACAAGTTAAGAGAATTAGAATCTCTATAACATTTTTATGTTTCTTTTATTTACTAGATTATAAATTGAAAAACTCCTTGTTTTTGAACTAGATACCAAAAGGACCCTTTATATATGTATGGGCTGAAATTAATCTGATCCAAGTCCAACGAGAAGCAGAAATTTGAGATGAAGTGTCAGATATACATCCAAGAATTGTATTACGAGTGTTTTATACTAAAACATGTATAATATAATTGAGTACACATCTGACTACATATAAATATATGTATAACTTCAAGAAGTGTCCAACGAGTGTCGGATACGGATATGGGAAGTGTCGTACATGGAGACGGAAGCCCAGATAAGTGCCTGGGTAACCTAGATACCAACCCTCCAAAATGTGCAAAACCAAATCAAAACAGCACTTACTAGGGAAGATGGAAAATGTGTTTTTACAAATAAAAAAGAACATGCTAGCGATTGTCATTTTAACTATCATGCATTTTCATTTCTCTTACACTATTACTATCATCACTAAAAATAAGGAAATTAGGACTGGCCCATATGATTAATGGGTATACCTTGCTTGGTGTTGCCATGGTGTCTGGCAACCGCAAGGCTTTAAGGTGAGCAGAGTCCACTATATCCGCCAATTTCCAGCTCTTTGGCTTGTCAGAATCGTCTGCAATTCGTGGCTTAATGTCTATTACCCTGTTATTGTCCATAGTGGCCTGCAATTTTTTAAAAGTTATAACCTTGATGTTTCCTACATGCAAATAATAACAATTTGTATAAAAATTGTGACTGACCAGACTGCTCATAGGCACTCCAGGTGGAACTCTATCAGGGCGCTCCAGAGCGGACACAATAGGGCTAGAAACATTTGAAATGGAGCCCAGTACATTAACAATTGGAGCCTGTATAGTGCAACAAGATACAGACTTAGCTACAATCATTCCATAGAAAATTGTATCAAGACAGTAATGAGAAATAATAACATGTTACAATGCTCATTATTANGTGGCTATAGGCATAAAATCAAAAAAGATGACCCTTTTTTTATAAATTATGCTAGGCTAAGTCACAGGTGATTTCAATTGTCCAAGCAAGAAAGAAAATAATGCGCAATTATTTATCAATTTAGACTCTGAAATATAGGTTATGAAGGAACATTTAGGATTCAATTGATGTTGGATTGATTTAATATAAATACAATATCTCAAGGACGCCTCAGTGAATATTAGACAATTGACTGTTCTGAAAGGGAGTCGATGGATGCAACTGAACTGGCATCGGCTCAGTGAATTACAGCCAAAACTATAGACATATGAAGTCTCATACAAGGAGTCTTGTCTTGCATTTCTTCCTCAGAATAAACTGATTATGCCCACAGAAGAATTCAAGTAGTAAAGACCATCATAATAACTAAAAGAGTCTACATGAAATTCTCTGCAGGGATTTCCAAATTATTTGTGTGAATCTGCAAATTTGCAGAGGATGTTCGGTTGGTTTTTAAGTGTATATTGTACATGTGCCACCCAGCTTGATCAAACAACAGCCCAGTGCAATCACTAACTATTGAACCAGATTATGTCCGAGTAAAGATAAGTTAAGCTGTATGGTAGCATTACCTTGGAATTACTTTGCTGAGGGCCTCGAGAGCCTTCAAAAGTTCTGCTCTCCAGCATCCTGAGCAAGCACTGTCCATCAATGTTTGCTAAGATCTTAATTCCATTATCATTAGTTGTAACAGCAAGCAAAGATCCCTCTTTGTTAAATCTTAGTCGAGGACTTGCCTGCAGCAAAGAAACAAAATACAGAAATCTGTCAGTGTTCAGGATTAGTTATGTCAGAAGTACATTATCATAACAAATGTGACTCACTGTCAATCCCCCCTCAGCATCTGTTGTAGTCAATAAATTGGTATTATCCATGTCCCAGAACTTAATCATAAATTCATCTCCAGCAGCTAAGAAATGATTCCTGGTTGTGTCAAATTGTACAACGCCTAGTGAGCGTTTCCTGAATCCAGAGTATGTCCTTTTAATAGCGCCTTCTGTTTCATTCCACTCAACCAAATGGGAATCACCATCTTTACTAGTTCCACATGAAAATAGCCTGAAGCAGGTGCAGAGGGGATGATAAATAGTAGTTATACAAAAGAACTGGAGTAGTGAAAGAATGTAGCTAGCCTAAATGCTTGAGCAGAATGGACTAACAGAGACCCATATTTCGAGACATTTTTTCCAGCCAAATTAAGATCATGAAAGAGCAAAGGTAAAAGAGGAAGATGAAAACATTACTTTCATAGGCTAAACAGCCTAAACTAGCAAGTTAAGCATTATATACCATGAAGAAAGAGATGCAACAACTTGTACCTTGAGCCATCAGCAGTATATGCCATTGTGGTGCACCAGAGTCCAGGAGCATCATAATCTACCCTAGATCCAGAATTATCATATAGTATATGCCATTGTGGTGCACCAGAGTCCAGGAGCATCATAATCTACCCTAGATCCAGAATTATCATATAGCCATGCTTTGATCTTTCCATCAACAGCAGTTGAGAATATAAACTGCATACAGGTTTAGGGTGAGATGATAAAGGCATTGCATTTAGGAGCTTTCCTTACTAACAACTGAATCCATTTCCCAGAAAAATCAAAGATAAATAATGAACATATTCACCAGACTTGTAATAACTAATTCTACATAGATTTTCAAAACAATGACTATCAAATTAGAATGAGCCAGTGACGAAGGAAACCTGTATTGCCTCCTTCTGGTGAGGACAAACAGAATATACAGGAGCTTCATGACCTTCGAACACATGATGTTTCTGTCCTGTGATAGCATCCCATACCTGCAAGTCATGTCATGAGCATTATAAGTATTTTCTCAGTTAGAAATAGCATTAGAACTTAAAGAGGTTCTTGTTGGACAAACCTTAATTGTCTTATCATCACCACAGGTAATGATTGACAAGCTTTTATTCGGATGAGAAAATGCAATGTCATTGACACCACCTATATGAGCATCAATCTGCTCACAAATATAACAGATAAATAACACAGTATAGTGTCTGCCTAACAAAGTTAATGTTTACAACTCACTTCTAACTGTTGCCTCAGCTCTCCATTTGGAATATAAGCATATGTGTGAACTAGATGCTTTGAGAAAGCAACCCCTATTAAAGATCATTGCAAAAGTTACCACTAGTAAATCTCAAAAATACCACAAATTTATGCAAAAGCAAGGAAACCCATGTACTAAAACAAGACCATTAAATAGGAAAAGCAATTGCTTTCATTAGTACCAATGACAGATCCATCCGGGCTCCATACGCAACGATTGACAGATACAGTAGCATCTTTCATCAATGCTGCCTGCAAAATACATCAAGTTCTATTGATGAATAGATTAAGAAAACAGAATTAAACAGGCATGAAGTAGAAATATCATGAGAATCATCATATTAAATTCAGCATAGAAAGGTACAAACCCAGAAAGTACCTGTAGGGGCACAGAACAGTTTTGTACATCCCAGACCTTAAAACTCTTGTGCGCTATCCTCTCCCGAGATCCAACTTCCCATATTCCAATATCTCCAACATTTGTTCCAACTATGGAAGAGATAATTGTGGGTATGTAAATCAGTTACGATTAAGAGAAAGGACAACTAGCACAAAACTTACAATGTGATCGATCAATCAAACACCGTCACAAGAATATACCTAAAAGTAATGTTTGATGATGTGGATGGAAATCCAAGCTCATGACATTAGAACCCTGACTAAGTGTTCGCGCTACAGATTTGGGAAGATCATCTTGGGAACAAATATTGGGTGGATGTGAGGCGCCAGAGAATGACACCTATAGAAGGAACTTGGTTATGATCATACACGCCAAGTTTGAACCAAAAACATCCGTAGGCATACATATTCCAACTCTAAAAAAAGGATAAAGTACCTCATCAGATTGGCCAGTTCGCATTCTCTTCATCAAGTGTTCAGAATCAGCTGTATGATAATCCATACCAGCAGCATTCGCAGGAGCTCTAGGTTGCTTCAAAAATGCAGCTACAAAAGTACATTCCAACTCAACTGAATACAAAATTTCAAACCGATGGTATCCATAAAACTTAGACATTTAATTCACTCACTTGCATTAGGAGGCTGTACAAGACCTGGAGGCCCTTGGGCTACAGCAGCATGTGGCATCGATGGATTACCACCCGTCATCCATCCTGCAATTGCACTTGCAGATGGAGCAATTACAGACTGGAAAGGTTGCATCTAAAGAAACAAAAAATATTAAAAGTTACACTCACATGAGAAAGGACGGACAAGAGGAAGAGATATAGACATTGGCGATACTTTTCACTTACACTATGAACACCTAGAGGAGGAAAAGGCCCAGGCTTAGGAATGGATCCTACAAGCGGACCATTGGTCGGTGGAGGCCTTGTTCCATTAGTAGGAGCACATGTGTGATCCATAAAAAGTGTCTTGATGTCAGGGTTGGGGCGAGGGTTCTTGCAAAGTTGATGCTGCCAATTAAGACTAGCAGTAATATATATATTATTAATAGAGAAATTAATTGACAAAAAGTATGCTCATAGAAGAAGTAAATGAACACATTTTACAATAGGAAATTGAGTGTGCAAAAATTTTTATATTTCCAGCACTACCAATTTCAGATATAATAAATTGAATAGCTAATTTGATATCGATCATTAATTATCTGAACATAAATATCTGCCAATGACACTTACACCTTAAGTGGTAAAAGGTTAATCAGTACAAAGTTTTGTCCTATATATCATGCAATAGACCAAGTAAAGATACAATGTATACATCCCTCACGTTGAACAATGATTTCAGACAGCAACTCCAGAAAGATAGAACTTCCTTATACAGCGAAGTCCATATTCGAACATAAGAATTTGAAATGTCCTCAAGGAAGAAGGTGTAAGACAAGCACATAGTATGTACACTACCTTTGGTTAATCAATGTTCGCAGTCTAGAAGCTTTAAAGGCTGGGAGTGTAAGCTTGTCACGAAACAAAGGGTTAGCCTCAATAAGCTTCTTAAGCTCCAATAGCATTATATTTCGAGCTGACTTTGTATCTCCGTATTTAGATAGTTGCTCATTCTGCCTGTACAATTACAAATGTAGATTTAAATCTATCATCTAAAACTAATAAACCAACACGGTCATAAGAAGATATAGCTAAAATACCTGAAATTGTCAAGGGTGAGCAAATGGGTAATCTCCTTGAAGAGCTCTTCATTGAATGAAGCAAAGACCTTAAGATCCTTAACAAGTATTTCCACAGCTTTAGCTCTGTCATGACTGAAATAAACACAACGGCCCAAGTTCAGAAAACCAAAGTGCAACAAAAATGCCATCAAAATTGAAACACCCACCTATCTAGAGCTTCAAGGTACTTCTGCTTCCTGATCTCGAAGAAGATTTTCATCGAGTACCTATTGTCCTCGACCTTTGTAAATCCGCCAAGATACTTCTCGACTTCATCCCATTCTCCTGCTTGAACTTGCTCCTCGAAATGCTTCATATTGAAGTAAAACCCTGACTCCTGCTCCAACCTGAAATTTCCAAATCAGGCAAAAATTATCAACAGAAAACAGGGCAAAAGAAAGCTGAAAACTATACGACTTGCTTAAAGTATTAAGGTGGAATGGAATTGCAACTTTGAAGTATGAAAATGAAAAAAAGGGGGAATAAGCCCCCAAAAAAATAAATAAATGGAGATTGCATTTTACCTGTGAACAGCCTCTTTAAATTTCTCCTCATCCAAGAACTGGAGAATGAGGAAAACGAGTTCCCTACTCAAAGAGGACATAGTTCCCGCAACTCCTAAACGCTCCAGCGCAAAATCTGGTTTTTAATTTCCCCCTTTTTATTTATTCACGACGAAAGCCGCTTCCTTTCTCGCAATTCCAAACGAAACCCCACCCAACTACCAAACTTCAAATAAACCTCAAATATTAAAATACAAAAAAAATCAGAAAATTCATAAAAAAAGTACAGCTCCTCCTCCTCTCTCCCCAGATCAAAGCTCACGACCAAACCAAACCCTCAAACTCCCAAAACCAACCAAAAACCCCAAGAAAATGATGAAAACCCTATCAAATGAGCTCCTTTCAACGATCTGCTACCGGATCTGAACTCAACAAGAAGCTCCCCTTTCCAAAACCTCAACAAAAATATCAATCTGGCCTCCGATCAAGGAAAAAAAACGATTCAACGTTGAGCTTCGACAAGATTCCGAGGTCAGAACCCTTCAATTTCTAGGGTTTCGAGATTCTCTCTCTCTCTCTCTCTCTCTCTCTCTTAACTTTCGCCTTTTATATGGCGCTGCCTCTGCTCCTACAGCTCCCTTTATCCCTTTCCTCCCTCACGCATATATATAGCCCGAGGAAACAAAATCCTGGCGCATTAAATTACTTCTGTACACCTAAACTTTACCATAATTGCCATTTTGCCACGACGACGTCACATCAGCACTTGACTTTCGGTACGAATCTAAGGGTAATATAGTAAACTGATATGGTCACGTCCGGAGGACAGTCCGGGTAAGAAAAGTCCACGTCGGTTATGGACTAATGGGGCAGCCCGATGGGCAAAACCGTCATTAAAATTTCAAACTTGGGGTGGTAACATCGAAGCTCCTCTGTGCCGCCACGTCACCATTCTCGTACCGCCCACCTGCTGAAAACTGAGAAGCACGATCCCTTTTATTTAGTATTGCACCCACTATCTTTTTATAAAGGACGTGATTTTAGTCGTAAAAGAGGGTGAGGGTATCCCAATTCCGACGAAATCGGTGCATTAATTGATTTGTATTATTTTATTGCGGATGTTATTAATCTGTCGCTTTCTCGCGTGATAGGGGATAGCTGTTCACTCTGAAAGATGTGATAAGCAGGCTAGCTTATCAAAATCCACGATAAGTAGGGTTCCTTTAAAACGAAAGCGTGACGTGTTTTTTATTTTATTTTTCAGATTGGAATAAGGCGTACGGGCAGTGGGAGACCACCGCTTGATCGACACGTGGCGCTATTACAGGATCTACGTCCCACGTGATTCTCCAGGCTGAACGTGCAGGGCAACAGTTAAAAGCAGGACCAGTTCTGCTGTTTCTCAATTTTGCCCCTCCCCTAGTTGCTCGCCGATATTGACGGGGGTGCCCTCTGCGGCTCAGCCCATACTGAAAGGGGTATTTCCGTCATTCTGCAGTTGTAAAGACTCTCGGAAAGGCCGTTGGGGTTCTGTCACAATCACCTCAGCATCTCCAACAGTTTCCCCATCTTCTTAAAATACTTAATTTTGGGGAATATAAAGCTTTTTTTTGTCCAACAGATTCCTCATCTCATTCCCCAAAATAGGGAAGAAGGAGAAAAAATAGGGAGCCTTCCCCAAATTTTTGGGGAGAGCTTTATTATTGTAATAAATGCGATTTTTCAAAATGGGGAACCTGTTGGAGTTGGAGCAAAAATAATTTAGAGAATATGACTTTTGTTTCTCCATTTTGGAGAAAATTTTGGGGAAGCTGTTGGAGATGCTCTAAGGGGCTGTTTGGTTGTTATTGGTAAAGTTGTGTATTTATGACACAACTTGGAAAGTTGTTGTCCACCTCATCATTTTTTTTTTACATTTTTCTTTGTTTGTTTTTTATTCCATTGGAATCATAAAACACTTGTTTGGTTTGCAAAATAAAACTTTAATTGTTTGTTTGGAAAGTGTAAAAATTGGTCCCTACTCAAGTGTGATCATATTGGTTGGAATTACTTTTTCCTGACTTCAATGTCAGCTTTCTCCTAAAATCATGTCTTTTTTTTATGAAATCACTTTACAAGCCACGTCAGCATATGAAACCACTTTACACTATTTTCACAATTACAAACAAACAATTGATAGTGATGAAAGCTGACATTGTGACCCACTTTTTTACACTTTCCATCATTTTACATGGTAAAAACATACAACCAAACGGGCCCTAAGTGATTTATGATTTAAAGAGATAGAATTATAATTTCTAAACTAATCATTTAACCATTTGAATGATATGCAAGTAGATCCCACTTATTTATAATGTTTTCTAATGGAATCCTTACTTTTGGTAGCTTGTTGAAACCACTGCAGGTCTCTCTAGCGGCATCTATATTAGGGATTTTAAAAAAATAAAATAAAATTCATCTTCCCAATCATTTTATAAAAACTATCTTTTATTGTCAAGTTGTATACAAATCATTTTTCAAATATTCTTGTTGTAATCAACCATCTAGTCTCACTTTTCAATTATTTTTCGGTGACTAGTCCCTCCTAGCATTAACTAAGGATTATCTCTTTAATATACTTAGAATTTTACAACTGATTATAGTAAAAGCGAAAGAACTTGACTAAAAAGCAATTTTAAGTGGTTGATTACAATAAAAAATAGTTTAAAGGTGATTTATGTATAAATTAACACTCAAATGTGAATTCTATAAATAGTCCTATTTTAATGGTTTTTGGAGGAACCTAAATATTATAAAATTGTCTGTTTTTAGGTTAGTATTCAATTTTTTAAATTATTTTTTCACCCATAACTTCTACAAATGAAAGTGATCGCCTGAATGTGTATTGAGCTACGAATTCATAACTTGTAAAATAATAATACTAACAAGACTATATTCTCCTAACCTGGTTTCTCATTATATAAAAGAGGAATATATAATCCATTAACAAGTCGTCAATGTTAATACAAATTGAAAAAAGAAAATGAACCTTACATTGTGGAGTTCGAAAACAATTTGGAAAAATAAATCTGAACTAGCTCCTAAAGCAATGCTCGTGTAGTCGTCTGAGGTTGTTTTCTCGTCTTGATTTGTTCCCTATTGTATTTACATAAAGTTTTGGCCCATATTATATTATATGTTATGGTATTTGAATTTCTCCTCCTATAAAATATTGTAGTAGATTGAGATATGCTCATATCAGATAAGTTCTCTGATGGATGAAAACTTATCTTTTAAGAAGTTTCATCTTTTAAAAATTCTAATTATAACAGAAGGGTCCTAGCCCAGCTTATAAATATGATAATAGCTTCTCCATTAGATTCAGGCTATTCAGTAAGGCATAGACTAGAAACTTGATGTGCTTCAGCCCCCCGCTAATAATTCTATTATGTATTGATTTTAAAAATTGTATTTTACCTAGGTTTCCTATTTTACCCCTCTCCACCAGCTAAAATGCCTCATTATGTGCTTCTCCCTCCTCTTCTCCTCCTCTCTCGTAACTCCAACTTTCCTGGCTATTCCTCTGTCCTCTCTGTTAGACCCTAGTGCCACTAGGAAAGAATCCTAAATGGGGGTGAATAAGATTTATACTAATCTAATCTGATTTAATACCAATTAAAACTAATTAACAAGTTATCCTAGCAAGTAAGATGTGTAATAATTATATGCAAGGATAAGCAATATAAACAAACGGTAAAATAAACAAACTACAAATATGATAGGGCAATATACACAAAGAGTAATAGACAATGAAGTTATAAGATAAACACAAAAGTAAATGCGCCAATGACAAACTCAAACACAAGCAAATAGTCACGGAGTTCTGACCTTCCATCCTACATCTCCGCTCCCCACTCCCAGGGAGAAATCTACTACCATATCGGGTTTTCGACGCTCACCCGAAAATATTTACACCTCTCACTCGGTTTTTTAGCTCACCGAAAACTTTACGATCAACACTCTTGCAATCCCACTCTACACCCTCTAAGTATTGGTCTCTAGCCCAGATCTCCCTCAAGTGCTCAGATTTACAACATCTTTCTAGGCTTTACTATCGACACCACTCCTATTGGGACGATCTCGTCTCTCACCACACACTCCTTTCGGTGTACAAGTATATTACAAAGTGTAACTCATAAATTAAGCACAAATACAAATAAATTGTTCTTTACAATAGATGAGAACACAATGAAAGCCCACACTCTAAGTCACAAACCCACAACCCCAAATTATAATATGTATGCAAATATAATAAGCTCAATAGGTTGTGTGTGAACAAAGATTATAATCAAAACAAACTAAACTCAATATAAACACTAGCTTAATGAAGATGATAAAAAATAATTAATGCAAAACTAGTATTGAGTTTAGAAATTCTTCTCTGAAAAACAAGATGGAGAGATGGAGATTGAGGCTCAAACAATGAAGATGATCTCCTCCACTTGTGAAAACTTCTTCACAAACCAAACAAATACTAAAAACAAACTTAAACCCTTGTTAAACTTTTGTAAACTTGTATAAAAAAATTTCTTGAGTGGTTGGAGAGGTAAATGCAATGGGATATTTATAACCTCACAACATATCAGCCCAAAGCCAAGAAAATGACCAAAAAGCCAACCAAAAATAAAATTGGAAACAAGTCGTTACTGTGCAACGGTAACATTGACGATCGACCGTAGAGCCATGACCGATCGACTGCAAAAGGCTGAAGAACAGAGCAAAGTCTATGGACTTCAATCGGTCGACCGCTACAACCATTCCGGTCGATCGCGGACTGATATTTCAGATACACGGGTTTTGAAAATAGTTTTCTGACTTTTAAACTTGAGTTAAAAATAACAAACAAATTCAGAAAAATGTAAGACTTTGGGGATTGCTTGTAAACATGCTACAAAAACTGGTTTTCAAATAGCACTTCTCATTTGTGAAATCTTATCATTTTGCAGAATCATTTAAAATATAAAATCTCGAAAATACATGATTTTGACAAAATGACTTAAACAACCTCTTGAAACATTCTGAATGGATTTATAGACTTAATAAAAGATGTATGATTATTAAATCCATAAACAAAAATACATTATTTTCACAAAATATATATATTATACAAAACACATTTGTTTTTCCAAAAGCAATCGAATATGAAACATGTGACAGTGTATGTGAATATAACTATTGTTTCATATTTATAAAGCTAAACTAAAACAAAACAATAAATATAAAATATATAATTTTATATTTATATAAACATGAAAACCAAAAACTAATACACACACACACATAAAAACCAATAAAATATGTGTGTATATGATTTTAAGCTTAAAGTATCTAACACACATAATATAAAACCTAAACTATTTACCCAAGCAACTTGATCTTCAATATGGCTCGACTTGGTAAACTTACGGATGAAGCTTGAACTTGGATCTTAACTTGAATTGCATTGCTTCATACCGATAGTCCTCCAACCTCCATTGGATATGATCGTGAAAGCTCTAGTCCATTCATCCTCCAACTGATTGTTTGTCTAGAATACCTAATAAGAAAATACAAACACTAGACAAACAATATTAGAGATTGTTTGTAAATCATCA